TACTAGGGGCTCTTGGCCTTACTACTAGGAACAAGAAGCTACTAGTAACAAGTGCATCGCTTCTAGTAACAAGTGCCGTACTACTAGGAACAAGAAGCTACTAGTAGCAAAGGGCATCGCTACTGACATTGAAGTCTCACACCCGCTCTGTGCGGTCAAAAGCACCACATGCCTTCCGCACCCCCAGAGGCGCACGTGGCCGACTTGCAAAAGCGCTACCGATGGCTGGACTGCCAGCGGTACTGGTAGGGGCTATGCCTTTTCTCAAATCCAGGAGTTTTTTCTTGGAAGAGGATCAACACCTGTGCTATGATGGACACAAAAAACAATAAAGTAGTCAAGTATGGCAGTATGGATGGCTAAGGCATGGCATGTCATTCGCCCTCGGAATCACCTGACGCTTGTTGATTTTCTCGGGTCGGCCTCGTAGGATCAAGAGCCGATGGTGCAAATGTCCAAGGTGGTCGAGCAGCAGGATCAGGGAGATCGAGTGCCGATGGGTTTCATGTTGACCATTACTACTAGTAACAAGAAGCTACTAGTAACAAGTGCATCGCTACTAGTAGCTTCTTGTTCCTAGTAGTAATGCCAGGAGCTACTAGTAGCTTAGTCACACTGTAGTCCCTTCGTCGCTTTGGTGAAACGGTCGGAGTTCGTTTCTGATGTCGCACCTGCAGATTTTCGGCCCAAGGAGCCCCCCAAATGCGAGAGGAAGAGACATGGATCATTTGGACCGAAATTGTGGCCCAAACATGCTGAAACATTTTTTTGGCATGGGATCGATGTGTTTTTGTCGCACCACTTACATTTCTTGATGTTGTTTCTTGTCCCCCTTCCTCTGTTATCAAATAGAACAAGGAGTTGCGACGAAGATGAACGGATTGGCAACGTTCTTGCAGCTGTAGGTCCTTTCTCGTAGAGCCTTGTAGGCTCATGAAGGCATCCGGCAGGATGAGACTCAAGACGGGGAAAGGGATGAGAAGGGTTTTCAGAAGGGTTTGAAAAGGCTATGAGAGAGACGAAACATGAGAAGCATGAGAAGCTATGAGAAGGGTTGTTTTTTTTGTTTTTCGAAGGCGTCTGATCACGCAGGTGAGATGTGATGCAGGGCCTCACTGTTTGTTGGGAGACCCGAACCTCAGGCGTCAACCATTGAAAGAAGCCAAACCACCCCAGAAAAGCCTTTTGTGACCCAAGATGACTTCAGAAAAGCCAAGTCTGAAGGACATTCTCTACTTTCGGAACTGTTTTTGGAGGCCAGCTAGTAGGTTGGAGGCCATCGCTAGTAGCGCATCCCAAAAGTGAGACCGTTGGGTGAGCCGTTTTGGCCCAAAGCGCTTTGGATTTGTGCCGGTTCGAAAAAGACGGAAACGACGTGAGCACAGCCATGTACGCAGCAGCTGTCCTTGTTTTCCTTCCCTATGCTCTCGCAGCAGATCACTTCCTTCAACGAAGAACCAATGTTTGCGATGTGACAGGACATTTCAGCTGCCATACCGCAGTCTTCGATGCGATGGGCAAAATCAGCCTCTATTCCAATGAGAAAGACGAGCTGACTTTGATCCACAGCCGCTCTGCAACGTTCCTGAGGGTTGGGCTGCACTATGGCGTTGACAACGAAGAAATTCAACATTGTGCGAAAGTGCCCTCACCTCAGCTCACGTATCGGTGCGCCATTGTCGAGACTCTGGGTCATGATCCCAATGCTCGCTTCAGCGATGCATTCACTGACTACGTCTTCAACGATGATTGTAGTGCTTTTTCCAAAGTCGGCACTCACTTGTCCAATACCGCAGTGGTCAATGTCGAATGTGTTCGCACAGAGTGAGTCACAACCTCGCTGACTCATGTTTAGAGCTTGCGTCGTTGTAAAGCATGACGCTGGCAGCTTTTGTCCTCTGTCTCAAAGACTCCACTTGTGCAGTGTGCAGCTGTGGAGCTGCCTTCTGGGCTTTCTGCCGAGGCCAGAATGCAGCTTGTAGATTCTTGCATTCCATAAAATTTCCCATTTCCGCATCAATAGAGTGCCAAAATGCAGCCACCTCCCTCTGTGCCGTCCCTCCGGTGCTCACGAAACAGATGTCTCTCCGAAGAAGCGCCACATCCCCGAGGCCACAGCGCACAGGTGGCCTTGAGGCTTCGCCTCCGGTGTGGAGAGGCCGAATCGGATGAGCCGGTGGTGGCGATGCTCAGTCTTTGGTTTCGCTTTTTGGAAGTGAACTTTTCAAACAATTTCAAGACAGGCACAAGGGACGCTACGAACGGGGCTCCTGGCCGTACTGCTAGGAGCAAGGATGCTACTACTTGTAGGGGCTCCTGGCCTTACTACTAGGAACAAGAAGCTACTAGGAGCAAAGGGCATCGCTGCTAGGAGCATTTCGGGCATCGCTACGAACGGAGCGATCAAAAAACAGACAGGATGCTGAATCATCTGCTTATTTCGAAAACTAAAAAAGGAAAACGTACCATATCATATACCGTACCTTTCATATGCCATTCTGCTTTCGAAAACCATTTGGCCGTTCCTTGCGGTCGAGTTTGGAGACCGACCTGAGGCCGCTCCGCTTCGGCCACGCCACTGGGTGGGAAAAACGTGTGCCCTTGGTGATCTGCTTCTTTTTCGTCCACCGCAAGAAATTGAATTCAGTCTTTACATATTTTTTTACTTTTCAAATCTTTCTTCATTTACACCCCTTTTTCAATGCCTTCTCTTAGGTTTGTTCTTTGCTTTTGCACTTGACTTGAAAGCATCTCAATGCTACCTGTGCCTAGGCTGTGAGATTTGTGGCCTGGCCCTTGTCTTGTTATTGAATACCGAGAGAACAAACGATTCTTCGGAGACCAATTTGGGATCGCACGAAGAAGGATGATTGCGATCGCTGAAAATTGTCAGATGCATGCAGTTTGCTATTAGGTTGGAAGCCATCGCTATTAGAAGCAAAGAAAAATACAAGGAATAAAGGACTAATCGGTCAAATATAGTTTGCTATTAGACGGAGCGTTCATGTTTTTGAGAACTCGTGGCTCTTGGGAACCCAAGGTGCCCCCCTGCATAGGTTACTGGCCCAGGCGACTGTCAATGATGTGCAGGCCAGGGATGGGGTCAGAACTCACATACATCACATAAAGGGCATCGCTACTAGCAACAAAGGGCATCGCTACTAGGAGCAAGGACGCTACTAAGGGCTCCGGGCCTCGCTATTAGGAGCAAGGACGCTACTAGTAGCTCCTGGCATTACTACTAGGAACAAGAAGCTACTAGTAACAAAGTTCAAAGGAGGCTATTAGGTTGGAGGCCATTGCTTGTAGGTTGGAGGCCATTGCTATTGAAATCGACACGAGGATTTGACTTGAAAGCAATTCCTGGGTCAGGATGATCGCGAGATATTTTTTTTAGACTTTCGCAGCAACAAACCGTGAGCTAGCAATCAGTTAACATGTCAGTGTCCACGAAAGGAATTAGTGCCTTAAATTAGAAGCATTGCTAGTTTAAAGCGGTGCCTTGCAAAGAAGCGCTTGAGCTATGTTGGACCAGCGCTTATCTGAGGCTTATGACCTATTAGAGGTTGACTCTGAGCCGCTCAACACCCACTGGCATGAGGTGCCGCACTTGCCGACATGTTGGCTGCCTATTGTCCACCAAACGGTGAGGTCTGCCCTGGTCATGTGGAAGCTCAAACAAGACCTTTGGATTCGGCCAGGTGCCATTGGCGAAAGATCTGGAGGCCATGGGGTTTTCCGACTGCGGCGACATTTGCGCAACCGGTGCCCAGTCACTTCAGCCGCATTTTTTAGCTGAGAAAACCCAAAGGAGTGATTTCTTTTTAGAAAGCATCACCTTCACATCGCTCTGTGATTCAAAGATCTCCACGGCGAGACGCGCCCCGATTAAACCAGGAAACAAGAAGATCAGCCAACATGAACCCAAGATCAATCGACTTGGATGTTTAATGTATGTATACGGTATACTAATATACACCATTCAATCGACATCTACAGCTCTCCGAGACATGAAGCTTTAGCTTGTAAAGTCTTTACTCAGCCGATTTGCACAATAGCTTTCTACTTCGAAAGCTGTCCGCCCCTGCTCTGATGCGAATCTTTGTAAAGACGCCCATGGGAAAGATGCTAAACATTTTTAATCTTGGAAGCAGATGCCAGCGACAGCATTGACAGTGTAAAAGTCAAGATCCAGGCTCACGAGGATATCCCTCCTGATCAGCAGAAGCTTTTTCATTCCATCATACAGCTTGAGAATGGACGCACACTTGCAGACTACAAGATCCAAAATGACTTCGAGTTGAGGTTAGGGCCAACCCTGCGAGGGTAACACCAGAGCGCTGCTCACAAAATTTGTTTGGGCACTGCTTGGAGGCCATCGCTCTTAGGTTCAATTGCAGAGGCTTTCAAGCGACTCTTTGCGCGTCGGCCCTGCATCCCTGCAGACCCAAAGATGGCTTGCACATGCTGATTTTCAGAACTCAAAGACTAATACCACCAGTCCAGGAGAGTCTCAACCGAAGCTGCAGAAAAAGATGAGAAATGTGTGTGTGTGTGTGTGTTCTAATTGTTAAGATCAGCACATTGTTATGACTTTGGTCTCGCCGGAAGAAGACTCGAGCCAAACTTGAGCCTGTTGGATCCCACTCCGTGCGTCCACACCGCGTCCGCACCGCGTCCGGCCAGTCTGAGCCTTCGATGTCTTCACCCCTGGGCATTTGTGCAGCTCTTTGTGCAGAGGATGGAGCATGGAGGGCTTTTCCGTAGCTTTAATTGGCTTCACAACATGCAAGGCTGGCTGTTTTTGTACAACCTGTTGTCTTCTTCTTCTTTGTCTCTCACTGAAGAAAGAAGTAAAGGAAGGACACAGTTTATTGGTCTGGTTTCTAATTTAGTTTAATTCTAACTTAATTCTAATAGCTTCTTGTTACTACTAGTAAGGCACTTGTTACTAGAAGCAATGCACTTGTTCCTAGTAGCGTCCTTGTTCCTAGTAGCTTCAGGAGATGGAGACCTCGAAGTCTCGAAGGTTGAGCCTCGAGCTGCGAGCCATGAGTCTCGAAGACGGGAGAGACAGGAGACTTCGGGAGACGGGAGCTGTTGAGCCCTGAAGGTCAGACTACATGCTGACATAGCCTATGTAATCAGATTAAGTTTCCCTAAGAAATCTAGGGACCAAATGAATAGTGCGTGAGCTATCCTGCGTCCTTACTAGTAGCTTACTTGCAGGTAGTAGCTACCTCAGTCACTTAATTAAGTAGGTGCCTACTTAGTTAAGTAGGGAGGAGGGGGAGACTGAAGCAATTTACCACAGACCTTCACCGGTAGACCTTCACCTCACCTCACTGAGGTTGTTGCTGACCCCTTAGCCTTGGCTCAACGAGCTCGTTTCGCGCGAATCTTGGAGGATTTGTCCAGTCCACATGTGGACCTTTGACACGTCTGAAGTCTACTTGCACATCATGGGACTGTGCAAAATTGAGCATTTCCGGGTTTTGCACTCAAGCCACTACTAGGAACAAGAACGCTACTGGGAACAAAGGGCATCGCTACTAGGAGCAAGGACGCTACTAGGGGCTCCTGGCCTTACTACTGGGAACAAGAACGCTACTAGTATCCACACTCTCTACATTTACTTTGTTTCACAAGTTTGGGCTGGAGGCGATCTACCCCCCATGGCAGCTGGGGCCCGATATCCGATTTTCTTGGCGCCTGGAAGCCAGGCCCAAGGCACCCAAGGCGCGCGAGTCGATGAATTCCTTGCGTTTGTTGCTGACACTGCCTTTGTTGTTTGAGGAACTATGGATCACTATAGCATGTGTTTCGCAATGTGATGAATGTGTTGTCTCGGGAGAGAAATGCTGGCTTGAGGCATACTGCGACAGTGCTCCGGTCAAGGTCACTGGCAGGCCGGGCAGAAGCACTGGATGAAGAAGCAAGGTCTTGGTAAGTGGAGCTGTTGGGCTACCCACGTCATTTGTTCCCTATAAGTACAGTTCTTTTAAACAGATCGACAAACGAAAGGAAGAAAGGAAGACAACAAACTGGCAAGGGCAGAACAATGGCACCAAACAAGGAGTGGCACAAGTGGATACAAGTGGCACAACCGCCGCCGCTTGTAAGGCATTCCTATTAGGTTGGAGCCATCGCTTTCAGGAGCGAGGACGCTACTAGTCTCTCCTGGCCTTTCTACTAGGAACAAGAAGCAAGGACGCTACTAGTAGCAAGAAGCTACTAGGAGCAAAGGGCATCGCTACTAGGAGCAAGAACGCTACTAGGGGCTCCTGGCCGTAGCTACTAGGGGCAAGAAGATACTAGTAGCAAAGGGCATCGGTCTTAGGTTCCTTTTCTGCTCGTGGCGAGGCCACGGCGTCCACGCAGCATGCCGGGGATTGGAGGCGTCGCGAAGAACCTAAGAGCTGTGCAGGTGCACTTAGTCCTTGCTCCCAATAGCGATGCCAGGAGCACCTTAGTAGCTTCTTGCTCCTAGTAGTATGGCCAGGAGCCCCTACTAGCGTCCTTGCTCCTAGTAGCGATGCCCTTTGTTCCTAGTAGCGTCCTTGCTCCCAATAGCGACGGCCTCCAAGATATGCCGCCATATCTTGAACAGGCAGAACGGCACAATCCATTCGTGCGCAGGTGTGAGCGGCGGCTTCGGAGGGGGCTCTACCAGGCTCAGGGGAGTGAAACCGGAGGAAACATGCACCTACTAGCTTCTTGTTACTACTAGTAAGGCACTTGTTACTAGTAGCTTCTTGTATCTAGCAATGGATTGATCACTTACTGGCGATGGAAGAAGACTCATGACTTCGAATGCACACTTCGGTCGCATCGGATGTAGCACCAGCACCAGAGAGGTTGTTCTCAGATCGACTGTTGTTGACTGGAATGATTAGTCACCTGTCATATGCGAGTTTAACATAGACTGCACATCCGTTTCCTTTGGCACTCAGCTCCTTGGCATCGGATGCAGCTCCATGTCGATCCTTTCTATTTCCAGCGTGTTTTTTCGATTGTTGTCCTTTGGGGGGCCCCTCCCTCCCCCCCTGAGCTTGGATCTGGACGGTGGGTACGTTGAGCTGGATGACTGTTCCGTGCAGGTGCGGGAAGCGATATTCACTGGAATGGATGTTGGTCTGGTTTTTCAGGGTGTAACATGATGTAGACCCTGTATCTATCTGTAGCTTGTTGAGGAATTGTACAGATTTCTATTGTGTGGACACATCAATCTGCTTGGCTCATAACTATGGCGACTGCAGCAACACGCGGGGGTTTTCCAGTCATTAAACTTTGGACATGGTATGATATGGTTTGACGAGTTGGGCCAGCTCTTCATTTGATATGACGACGGTGTGGTTGCGTGGTTGATATTCTTGGGGACTTGGGGAGCTTTCTGCGAAGACATTGGTGACTTCTCCATCCTTCGTTTTGGTCAAACGTCTCAATCCTTTCGGTGCCATGCTGGACGCAGAATATCTCACGATTCGAGTAAGACACATGGAGCATGACATTCTAGGTTTCCTTTCTTCTCTACCAAGATGTTGCTAAAAACATCAGACTCTTTACTCATCAGACTGTGTACTCATTGTGACTTGTGATGTCTTTGACTTCTTTGCGATCCGGTCAATGGCTGATGGACGGATTTCTGGATTCCTTCGAGTCTCAACATCCTCACTGGCTCATGAGAAATGATTCCTCACTGCCATATGAGAAAGCCAGACAAAAATAAATTGGATCTTCAACATCTTCAATTCCATCTTTCAAGCAAAGTTCTAGCGGGTTGTCGAGGGTTTGCCATCCCTTGCTGCATCTTGCCTTGGAGAACAGGTGGCCAGCCCAGAGCCGTTTCGGCTGCTGTCCAACTGCCTCGATGTCGAGGTGGGAAGTGGGAAGACGCAAGACAGAATACAGAAGCCGATCTTTAAGGACAGAAGACGGAATAGGAGGGGGGGTAGGAACAAGAAGCAATTAGGAACAAGTGCCTCGCTTCTAGTAACAAGTGCCTTACTAGTAGTGACAAGAAGCTACTAGGAACCATGTTCGCTACTAGGGGCTCCTGGCATCGCTACTAGGAGCAAGGACGCAACTCGGGGCCCCTGGCCTTACTACAGTACTAGGAACAAGAAGCTAATAGAAACACAAAATATGCAGAATTTAATTGAATTAGAAAGGAGAAATGAAAGGAGACACCGAAAACTGGAGGCTGTCACTAGTAGTAGCTCAAAAGAAGATTGTTCCGAACAGTTTCTCGAAAACTCTGGAAACCAAATCAAGCGAAGAACCAGAGCCCTTCTGCGTCCTGTCCCCTATTGATTTTTTATTTGGCCAGGCAGAGGCACCGGATGGATTGCTGCTACCACTACGTCGACATCAATTGCAGTCACTAGCATGGATGCAGGCGCGTTGGATGCAGTCGCTTCCACGGAGCCGCGTGAAAACGCCGCAACAGAGCAACTCTCCAGGCCTGTGAAGCTGAACGGGAGCCCTTGCTTTTGGGCGCCAGCCGAGAGTTTCTTGGTTGACAGCGCAGTGGCAGCGCAACTGCAGAGACATTTCTATTTTTAGGTCTTTTGCAGGGCGTTGAGGTACAGTGGTGGAGCGACTTCTTAGAGAGATTTGCACAGGTTGGAGATTTCAAGGAAGAATTGAGTGAGAGCTCTGCACTTGACCGAACAAACGCCTTTGGCTGTTCAAGTGCCTTGAGCACCCCAGTTGGACTCAGTCACATTTGTGATCCACGGTGTAGGTAAGGTCAGCTCACAGCTCGATCACCTTGAAGGTTGACGCTTTGACCAAGGTTTTTGCCAGCCTTGCAACCGCCGCATGCGGCACAGCAAGTGCTAGTTGAGGCATGTCGGATCAAGCGGCTGTAAGACTCTGCGTCTTTTGACCCACAGCTCTGAAGAACTTCCACGTTTCTTCATGTTTCTTCCACGTTTGTCTGGATGAACTGTCCAGTCAGGATCGGGTAGAGGTGGCCAGGATCTGAACAGAGAGGAGCATACCAACACTTTGGGGAACGGCTGGGCTTGCAAGTTGTAAGAATCGTAAGTGCTCAACGACTTTCTTCGTCACCAAAAACCGGTCATACACAGTCATCCGTTCACACTTTAATCCACAAGCCCATGCTAATTGTGCTTGGAGGCCATCGCTACTAGTAACAAGGGCATTACTACTAGCAAAGAAGCTATTAGGAACAAGTGCCTCGCTACTAGTAACAAGTGCCTTACTAGTAGTAACAAGAAGCTTGTAGAAACAAGAAGCTATTAGGTCGGAGGCCGTTCACATCTTTGTAGCTCGGTGAGGCGGTGAACTGTCGTGCCGTGGCTCGAGTGCAGCGAGCCTTTCGGCCCAAAGGCCCGCAAAGGGGAAGGCGAAGGCGAAACGAAGGCGTCCGGGTGTCCAAAACGGGCCATGGTTTCCTCGTGTTGTTTTTCTGGAAGAACATAAGGCCATTGTAGCCACTGTAGTCTGCAGATTTGCCTTTACAAGTGTCCCCCCCCACCAGATTTCTTTTCCGTCAACTTCGAAGGAGGGTCATTGATTCGGCCATGGTTTTAGGGATCTCAGCCAGCGAAGCAGAGTCACTCATCTTTGCAAGAGAGGATTTTGATCCGTCACTGTGTAGTGAGGAAGAACCCTAAAAAGCCATACACCTGTTATTTTTTCTCAAAACAAAGGAGAGGACGCTATTAGCAAAGTCTCAGCAAATGCTCAGAGTATGCTCAGCAAAGCTTGAGTTTGGCCCATCTTTAGCTTCGCGGAGAGCGTCAGGCGGCCTTCTCGCTGACCACGTGGGATCGGCAAGAGACCCAGGACCAGTAGCGTCCGATCGCTCCGTTTGTAGCGAGGCCCGGAGCCCCTAGTAGCGTCCTTGCTCGTACTGGATCGTCGGATGGTTCCGGGAACTGTTCCGTCTCTGAGGGAAAGACAGCTGTAACCTTGGCTTTGGTGGCCTCTGACCGAGGCAGGAGCAGGTTGAATGATGTTGTTTGCTTCAGCATTGGTTGTGCGACCTCATCACGGAGATGACCCAGCATAGGTTTTCTGGCGGACTCCACGCCGCTTCCCTTGAGTCGCCCCGCGGAATCAATGGCACCAATCGGGCCCTTGCAATTTAACTAGTAGCGTTGTCTTGTTCCTAGTAGTAAGGCCAGGAGCGTCCTTAGTAGCAATGCCCTTTGCTCTTAGTAGCGATGCCCTTGTTCGTAGTAAGGCCAGGAGGGCCTTGGAGGTTCCTACTTTCTCCAGTTAGGTGGAAGCACCCCCAAAGACGTTGCAGCTCGCAGGCTCATGCCGCAGCAGTAAAGCGGCACATCTTCCACGAGGCCTCCCGTGACGCTTTCAGAGCAGTGCTTTCTTGAGATGGACGCTTTCCAAGCTTGGCTGCCTTTGGACGTCAGGTCTTAGGAGAACACAACACTTTCAATGTTGTCCTTAGAAGCCAGGACGCTACTAGGGGCTCCTGGCACCGCTACTAGGAGCAAGGACGCTACTAGGGGCTCCTGGCCTTACTATGAGTAACAAGAAGCTAGTTGGAACAAAGGCTTAGAAACCTTAGTTGGAGGCCATCGCCGGTAGGTTGGTCCTTAGAAGCCTTATGCCGACGCTGAGCTCGGAGTTGCCGTTGACACATCGAAACCCCGCTTCGAGGGAAGCCACGAAGCCTGGTCCTGATGCCTGGGCGGCTGTTGCAGCAATGGCAACAGGAGGTCATTTGCGAAAAGACAAGGATGGACAAGGTGTACATTTTGGGGATCATTTCATTTAGGAATCATTTCTTGTGAACTGGCCCAAGAAAGAACATAAAACATTGGTGTTTGAGCTAGGGCTCTTATGGCTCGCACGGTGCCAGATTCACATGCGTCCAGGTGGCGAAATTCCTGGCCCCAGATTTGTTGGAGGTGATGCTATGGGATGGACGAGAGATGCCCGAGCCAGGTGCGTCAGACAACAAATGAAGTACCTTCAGAAACAAAAGAGAATGAGAAGAAACATCTGCATCCAACCTACTAGTGATGGCCTCCAACCTAGTAGCGAAGGCCATCTACACAAATAGTTTTGTGTTTTTTCCTTGAGGGCATCTACCCCTCGTTTGTTCTCCCCGAGCTCAGAGCAAATTTGGATCAAATTCCCTGGCCGAAGCTTCTTGCTACTAGTGGCGATGATGCACGTTGTTACTAGTAGCGATGCACTTGTTACTCGTAGTAGACTGAATCAGACATATCGCTTCTGAGTTGGCAGGCGAGAAGGTTTCGCTGCTCTTGGCACCCATTGAGCTCTTGAGTTTCAAGCGCCGGAAACGTGGCGAAGCCGCCCGGCTGTTCCCAGAAGCTTTCGGCGTTGCGCGTGGCCTTGTGAGAATTTCTCAGACGACCTAACATGACGCTGCTAGGAACACAGGGCATCGCTACTAGGAACAAGGACGCTACTAGGGGCTCCTGGCCTTACTACTAGGAGCAAGGACGCTACTAGGAGCTTTTTCTCCCGCGCGCGGGGGGGGGTAGAGGACGCTACTGAAGACATGGCTTTCTCGCTGTAGGAGATGGATGCAGCAGTCAGTGCAGCAGACATGCTGAGTGTTGCTCTCAGTTGAAGGAAGATGGCCTTACTAAAACATGTGTCAGAAGATCTTTGTCACCATTCGGACTGTGTTGAACAGAATAGCTTTCCAGTAAGTCATGCACTCACAGAAGGATTGGTTTGTGTATCAGTGTATTTGTCGCTCTTCACAGCTTTTCCAGCCAGAGACATCAGTATGTTGATCATATTGTTCCCGAAGAGCCCGAGGTAGTTTAAGCCTTTCACGCATTGTGGTGGATGAGTTCCATGAACATTTGCACGTGGCCCTTCAATTGCAACAGCTGAAAGAGTCTTGTCTGCCGCTGCTTCCAGAGAGAGAGAGAGAGAGTCAACATTTCTCTTCTCCCTTTGCGCTTCTGAAATTCTTTTGTTTTGCCCATGCTTCTTCAGAAACCCGAGCCACCTGTAGTGCGATGATCTGCCCTTTCCACAGTCGAATCATCGAATCATGCTTGGTATCCACTACGCAATGGGGCAGTTGCTTTGTGATTGTTTTTAGGTACGTTACAACCTTCCCCAGGACCACCCACGCATCACCTACAGTCTGAATTTAACAGGGCTGGAGACATTGGGACCATTCGTTTCGTTTCCTAATTGCAGTTCTATGTGTACCATGCCTTTTCTCCATTTTCCGACAACATCCTCCAAATCCTGTTTTTCACTTCGTTTCACGAGGACCTGACCGAGACTTCGTTTTGGGGCTTGACCGGGACGCCCTGCTTGGACGGCTTTCTTCCCGTCGCGGAGCTGCTCCGGGCCTGCAGCGCGGTGGATTTGATGCCCTTCCGCCGGCAGCTGGATGCCCACGCCCTGGTGCGGAGAAGTCGTGAGTTTCGGAGCCAAAACGATGGAGTAACAAGTGCCACGCTAGTAGTAACAGGTGCCTTACTAGTAGTAACAAAAAAGCTATTAGAATTAAAACATTAAATCTAAATTATTAGCTTCTTGTTACTACTAGTAAGGCACCTGTTTGGAGTCAAATGCAGACCGAAGAGCCTTGACCTTTCTTCCCACCGCGATCGCAATTTCGATGAAGCCACTTTCGACAGGACTTTGGGGTTTTCAGCTGAAGACTTCAAGACTGGTTTCCCAAAGCAGACTTCAAGACATCGCCCTTGCAACTAGTAGTTACCGCCAACTAGTGATAGCAGCTAATGATTTGCACCTGGGGAACTGAGAATTAGACAGGCTGCAGGATAGATGTCGATGGCATCTCGATAACACATGATAACACCAGGTGTGCAAAGAGCCCATTTGTTGAATCTCTTTCAGAAGAAGCTACTAGTACCAAATCGGCATCGCTACTAGGAGCAAGGACGCTACTAGGGGCTCCTGGCCCTACTACTAGGAGCAAGTAGCTACTAGTAACAAGGTTCGCTACTAGTAACAAATCGGCTTCGCCGCTTCGCTAATTAGTAAATCTTTCATTTGCGTTCCAGGCTCAACGTGCTTTGGAATACATGGTTCGCGCCAACGGCAACTTGGACGGCTTAGAGGCTGGGACTCTGAACCGCCGGCGACCTGTCGAATCCTCAAATCGGACACTTTGCTCGTTGGGCGCTTTCCTTTGGCTTTTTGTCCAAATCATTTCAGAAGAACCAAAAAACGAACAAACCTCATTAGTCAAAGAGAGGTATCAGATTCATGAGTCCAACAAACCTCATGAGTCTTGCTTTGAGACCATTCCTGTCTTCGGAGGTCCATGAAGAGTTGGTATCACTTTACCAGACCCCTGCAGAGCGTGCCATCTACGTCCACTTGGCCAACCGCCACCGCCCCCGCCCCAGCTCCGGTGACTCGGACTCGCGACCCGAGGAGACTTGGAGAAAGAACCAGCGCAGACGACGCGAGTGTTCGTAGCGAGGGTTTCTTCCAACCTGTTCGTAGCGCCTGAGAACTGTACTGGCCTAAGCCAAACTTGGCTTGTTGCCCCACTTGCAGTTTCGAACAACTTGAATCCAAAGGAGAAGGGGGGTTGCATCAGCAAGAGGCAAGAGGTCATGTTCGATACAAGGAAACTCCAAGCTGAAGCAGCTGAAGCAGCATTCTGCAGATTCCCGAGATTCATCTCCCTGAACTGCCCAGGAAAATGATGAGAAAGAGGGTACGCTTGGGTCTGAACTACTTCAACTATGTTCCTTGGCTACAGTTATATATACTGTACCGTGGCATTGAAAGGCTGGCTTTGTTTGACAAAACCAAAAGTCCAGTCATGAAGTGTCATGCTATCTGGTGCTATCTCTCGATGTCATTTGCTCTCGTTTGCTCATGTTTAGACCGACCTTTTTTTCTTTTCTTTTTTTTGTTTCTCCTAGCAATGGTCTTCAACCTAACAGCCTTGAGCCCCCGAGGCTCAAGGTATCATGCGAACGTGAGGCTCTCACTTCCGCTTGGACGGCCCCTCCGACTGCGATGCGGAGACCGAAAGCGCGGCCCTGCTGCGGCGCCGCAAGGATGCGTGCGAGACATCGCGAGCCTGGCTACTGTTGGCGGCCCAAAAGATGGAGATGCACATCCTACAGGTCCACCGCTTTGGGAGTTCGCCACATTGTCCCACTGGTTTCAGTGTTTGCTTTCCTTCTTGGCGTAGACTTGGCGCATCTTTGGATTGCCGGCTCTTTTTTTTCTCAAATTTTCGTTCCGTTCCATTCGCAGTTCTATCCCGTGCTGTGACAAGGCGCAACAGGCCGAGATGTTACCCACCTTGGTGGCGGAGCAGTATGCGCAATTGCTTGCTGAAGTGGATGGTGGCTTAGCACAGAAAACCGATAGTAGGAACAATGTTCGCTACTAGGAACAAGTGCATCGCTTCTAGTAACAGGTGCCTTACTAGTAGGAACAATGTTTGCTAGTAGAAACAGAAAACCGAAGATGTAGTAACAAGTGCCACGCTAGTAGTAACAGGTGCCTTACTAGTAGTAACAAAAAAGCTATTAGAATTAAAAATTAAATCTAAATTATTAGCTTTTTTGTTACTACTAGTAAGGCACCTGTTACTACTAGCGTGGCACTTGTT